TAATAATAATAATAATAATAATAATAATAATAATAATAATAATAATAATAATAATAATAATAAATAATAATAATAATAATAATAATAATAATAATAATAATAATAATAATAATAATAATAATAATAATAATAATAATAATAATAATAATAATAATAATAATAATAATAATAATAATAATAATAATAATAATAATAAATAATAAGAGCAGTGAAGTGGGATAATCTTAATAATGTATAAAATTACACATTTATAAACAACTATATAATTATTTAATTAACATATTGTAATTGTATAATTATTTCGATTATTAATTATGATTGGATTATTAATATACAACAATGCATTTGACAGTGATAGAGCCAAATTTCATTGGCTTGTCAGTGGATGATTGTGGAAAGTACGGCGAGCAACTTTTTTCAGTAATTTCACTAAATGCGCACAACATCACGACACATTGCGCCTCTTCCTGTATAAGCATTTTATAAAATGATTCTACGGTTGTTGGCATTGGTCGCTGAAAATGATAATAAACTACTGATATGACATTAATGTTTTTCAAATTTATCGTTATATCAGGACTTATCATAAAATTTATTCATCAAAACAATTTAATAACTAAAAATGAAATCGTTAAATTAATCACAAATGGAGTCATAAATTTGGTTTAATCATAAATTTAAACATACTTAATTTGGTTTAATTGTTTCAATCAAAAATTCATCATGTAATATTGAAAACCATAATAACTAGCAAAATGAAGAACAGGATATGATGTACTTCACCAAATGAATTTAAGAATTAGAAATGGAATTTTCATGTTAATCATAAATCGAATAATAGTTTATTTATTCCAGTTGGAAATTTATCATGTAGTATTAAAATATTCTTTCTAATAATTAGCAGGATAAAAGAATAAATCAAATTAATTTAATACTTAGAAATGAAATTGTCAACTTAATCATAAATCGAATAATAGTTTAATTCCTTTCGCTAGTTGCCGTGATGAAGAAGTCAAATAAGTTGTTTTATAGTTTTATTCAAAAATTTATCGATATCTGCTAATGAATGGTTAAATTGAGATTGCGTGGTCACGTAAAACTCGCGTAAGAAGCTTTATTGTCAAAATCAAATTATGCTATGTTTAAAAATGAATTGGAAATAATTTGACGTGAGAGACGTGAAGATAAAGTTAACGTACTTGCGTACAAATGAAGTGTTTAGTGAATTTTGGTGTATTTATATAATTTGCATGAATGTAATTATTTGTAACATTTTTTAGCAAAACTCGATTCTTATCTTGACATACAATACCCTGAAATATATTAAACATTAAATTTTTACTTGAAATAAAATTTTTTTCTCGAAATTATTAACGTATTGCAATGAATGTTAACTCGATTTTAACAAATATGCAAAATTTTAAAATTAAAAATATTTCGAAATTTTTTTTATTGAATAGTGACACAAAAATTCTAAAATATTACAAATGACAAAATTTTACTTTGCTAAGATTTCGTTCCGCATTTGCATCAAATCCTTTTGTTCCAATTTTTTCAACCATTTTATTTAATTTCGCGAATTCCATTTCTAATCCAGCTACACCTTTATCAAATAATGAATCACTCCATTTGTTTGCCTGTACAATAAATCGAATAATAACAATAAAAAAACATTCAATATTTGTCATACTCTTATTGTACTTGCATATTTGCTTGTTCAATAAATGTATGCCAACAAATCTTTTCAAATAAGAAATTTTTATTGGAATATTAATTTTAATGCAATACTAAACTTGCTAATTTTAAATAGTTTTTTCTTGTTTATTTTGAAAACAACAAAACTTTTTTTTTGCAATTTACAATTATTGTCACATTTACATTCAATTTGATTAAAAATAAAATTTTGCCGAATTATTTTGCCCATTCTATCTGTAATAACTAAGATAATTGAACGAATCGATCAATCCATCAAACAATTATTATCATTTAAATTTCAATCCTTTTTAGGTCATTGATAAAAATGATAAATAACCTGATCACGTACTGGCCCATTTTTTAAATCTTTTTTCAATTGGTCCATCTCTTTGGTCACTGCTGATTCTTCCAACACACTCATTTGTGTTCTTTAATTTATCTAATTAACCGTTTTTTCATACTACTAATTACATTTGCATATGAATGATTCGAAAGATTGGCTTCATTAATCAATCAATTTGTGCCTTTAATAATAAATTCATTCAAAAAAAAAATGTTTTTGTTAAATATTTATAATAATTTATTAAAGTCCAAAAGAATTTCATAATCATTTAGAAACAAATTTTCGATTTCAATTAAAATTTCAATTAAATTTTGATTAAAGTTTGAACAAAACAAACTTTGTTGATGAACTTGAAAATTCATCCTTTTTTTTTCCATGACTTTTAAAAAGTCCTTTCTTTCGCTTTTTTTCTACTGTTTTCGATTGGTCACTTTTGTTTTTATATCGTCTCTCTTCTTATTTACATTCTTCTACAAACATTCTTCTCATTAAATTCAATTTCAAAAATTGAATTGCTAAAATGATTTCATCCAAAGAAAATAAAATACTGCAAGATATTAATCAACAGGTTTCATTGATCTTTCAACAAATCAATTCCAAATTTCGAATTTAATCAATTGAATGGATGAAAAAAATACCTGTTCTGTATCATTTTTCCGGTTCCTGAAAAGTTTACATCTTTAATTCATGAAATAACAATAGAAGTATCGAAAAAAAAGATTCCGGAAAAAAAAAGTGTTGTCACTTTTCACTTTATCGCTATTATGATAAAATTTTCTCATGATAATGACAGAATTCTTTCTCCTTTATTAAGATGATAAGGGCAATTCCTAATATCACGATTAAAATGATAACAGCATTCATCAATATTATCATTAAAAAGATAAACATAATCTTCAAACTTCTTTGTGCTTTTATCTTTTTATCTTTTATCAGTTATAAATACTTTTGAAGAATTTTGTACATACTTCATTTTGGTTGTTACTTTATGCACGATTTTTTTTCATATTTAATATCGATGATATTTATTTTAAGTAAAGCTTCTGATAAGCGTTACGCAGAAGAAAGTTAATGAACCGATTCGGATAAATTCTATGAAATAAACTGAATAAAATCTGCTTCAACATTAATATTTATTCATTTCGAATTCTCGTTTGTAATAATGTAAATTATAAAAAAAAAATCAAACAATCGATTTTGCTATTCCTCAACATTATCTGGTGATTAATGATAAAAACAGATAAAAGAGATTGTAACAGATAGTATTGGAAGAAGAAAAAAAAAGTATTAAAACATTTTTTCAAAAATATTGATTAGTAATTATGTAAATTTGAAATGATAACTATCAATGTTCAAGCAATTATTGTTACACAAAGAAATGATTTTGTTATCAGTGATTTTTTATCAATCTCTCATATAATGGTTCACCGGTTTTTTGCATAATTTTTAACAATGCGGTAATTATTATATGTATATGTTAGGAAAGATGGTTCTTCTGCTTGAACTTTAAACAAATTGCTGATCAAATCAATGCTGCAATTAATAATTTTGATTTTTCAAGTTTTAAAATTTTAATTGTTCAATGATTGAAATGTAAAAAACATGAAATTTCAAGTTGTGAAATTATCTTTTATAGATATAACAAAATTTACGATTGATTAAGTACCTTTTTTTTTCTTTTTTGCTTCTTTCTTTTTTTTTGCAAAAGGTTTCAACTATCTGAAAACTTACGGAGCTTCTTGAAAGTAAAAAAAAAAGGAAAGAGGTCATCAAAGATACAATGTCCGTAAGATCATAAAATAAAATGGACACTTTCGGAGGACTGTTAGTGTTAAACTTGGCCATTTGTAAATGAGCTTAAAGATATCAAATCGTTTCTCAGAAGATATCGTTTAGTAACAAACTTGGCCATTTGTAGACGAGCTTAAGGATGTCAAATCGTTTTCAGAAGATGTCGTTGGTAACAAACTTGGCCATTTGTAGATGAGCTTAAGGATGTCAAATCGTTTTCAGAAGATATCGTTGGTAACAAACTTGGCC